ACGTATGCAGATGTAGATTGTAGATTGCATGTAGATTTTTTATTTCCACATGCACACCTTGCATGCGTAAAAAAAAGAAATTCATAATACCAGTATATAAAATATATTTTCCTTTCGAGTATTCATGTCTATAGGCGACTCTTACCACTATCAAACAGGTGGACCGTCCGCTTGTTTACTGTTGCCTAATGATTGATTGCTTGATTTGTCTGATGATTAGAGAAATCTATACTTCACAGATATTAATTTAAATTTTAGGCAATTATAAGGAAAAGTCATCCAAAACTAAAGAATCTGAAAATCACATCTAAAGATTTATAGATGTTGATAACGCACGCATGCTTTTTTATTATAATATTTATATTATATATATACAATAAACTCAAAGGAATATTAGATACATAAATAAAACAAAGAATAACAACCAGTCGTGTCTTATTTATCAATACATGTTTCATTATTATTGACATTAAAGTCAGAACAAAGATCTAATCTATCAACTGACGGAAGCGACGTGTAGAAACTGCAAAATGTAATAAAATAAATTGCTATTTTATTAAAACTCTTTGTTTTTGCACTACGACTTTAACAGTAATAGGTACTAGTAAGGGGGGGGGGAGGGATTGTTGGCAATGGCACAGATAATTTAATAATATACTAGTAGTAATGGTGTCTAACAGCCCTAATGCTAGTACGAGTAAAATACTCTATTAAATGGAATTGTAGTTAACTCTTGTTGATTCGTCACAATGGATCAACTGACCTTATTTACGGCATCTTATCCCATGTCCCATCAGCGTATATTTCAGCCATTAAAAAAATTTTTATCAGTACTTTAGGGGTTTCTTTTTATAAGATGTAATGTCATGATCCGTATTAAAAAAAAAAATACATTTTTTGGTCAATATTGTAACTATTTTAGCAGTTTGACTATTGTCATAATAATACTTCATATTTACGTATTTCATATAAAGAAATTACATTTAGAGAAAATAGATAATTTTTCTTTAATTTATATGCAAAAAGAACATGGTGACAAACACAAACAAAACATACAAGCGAAAGCTTAAGTGGGTACTTACTAAGCGTAGTTAAATTTACATCTTCAGAATCTAGTTAACTCAGGGTTGCCACTGTAAACCATGTGTTACTAGGTTTAAATAGGTACTTACTTTTCCTTATTATATCTATCTATCTATTCAGCCCACGTTATAAAATTGTAAAAGTATGTTTGTTTGTTATTTAACAGGTCAATCGGTTATCAAATTTAGTACAGTGATACGTAGTATTTGTAGATAAATTAGATATACTTAAATTATCCTGATTATGCGGATAAAGCCACGCTTAAAAACTAGCTAATCGTCTTCATCATTTACAACTTACAATAAAGATCGATAGTTTCGTTGTAAGTTTTTAATTGTCTAAAAAAGGAGATTTTTAATTCGGATTTGTTTAATTTTTTTAATCTAAACAAATTTTGAGTGTTATTTTTATTGAAAGCTTATTCCAAACATGTATATTAAATATAAATCCAGTAAATATTCACTAATATTAACCCTGTCTGAACTTGTCTAGTCAATATAGCATACTTTCGTGTGTTACATACATTTTTAATGAATGGGCTGTCTTTAGATTCGTCGGCGTACATACATAAATAGTATAAGTTTAAAATAAGAACAGCGATCAATGGCCATACAGGGTCAAAAACTTGACTCTATATGGAATTTAACAGTTGTGTTTGTTGTAATTTTATTACTTGAACTTTCAACATAATGTATTTTACAAAAAAAAAAAAAAAAATATTAAAAAAGAATCGTATTTTTTGTTGACGACCCTGGCATCCTCGTCACACTTCCGGCACAGATGTCGTGCGCAAGCGCCGCACCCGCCAGACGCGATATATTAAGGCTGCCGCTTACAGTGCACTTACTATAAAGTGACTCATATTAAAACTAAGAAACAAATTAGTAATTATAATGATTGACCAAAATAGTGATACACTAAAATCTCAAACCCCTTCATCGAACCAGTCCCTCCTAGATCTCTATCCTAGTTATTTTTTTATTTTATTGCGCCATCCCTAAAACACGACTCCCGCGCCATTTTTCTTTTTTTCTCTCCTTTATTGCGCAATTCCTAAAAACCGACTCCCGCGCGCCCGCCGATTCCTATAAAGTAAGAAATATAATGCTAGATCAATTTAACGATCGATTTAATGTTGAGACAAAACCTAAATTGATACAAGCACAAGACTCGTTTAAATACGATAATTCATAAGTAATATAATTCATAGAATTTACATAATAAAATAATAACGAGGAAGACTAATATTGCAACCGACCTCGAATCTGTGACTCTAAACTGGAATTAGTTATAAATAAATTAGTTATAATATATTGTAGAAAAAACCACATTAACTGGAATATCCATAATAGGTGGCTATCTTTTGCATAACTAGCTCCAGCTATATGGGTTGAGTTTCTAATTACACGATATTTTTTCGCTTTTTCTATATCTTTTAACTTGATTAGAACCTAGAATTGTTTTTAAAATGTAAAAAAAAAAAACTTTAAACTCATAATTGGAATTTATTAGTAACACTTATACGAATATATGTACTTAGAGATAGCAAAAAGTAGCAACAATTATTAAATTTTTCAAATTATGGATATAACATTAAAAAAAGACAAATCACGTCACTATTACATCATCTGTGGTATCGCGGGTAACCCGGAAGTATTATGTTGAACCCAATTTCTATAGGGTAATTTCTTAAAATAGATTTCTAGTTAAAAAACCTGATGCTATATTTTTTTCTAAAGAATCATTTGTAACGGTTTTTGTACAGGCATCAGAGAATATTTCCTGTTACGTAAATGTTATCATTATCTATTTATGGTGCTGAGTGTTCGTGCTTAGTTAAATTTTGAGTTCAATATTAAATCATCGCAAGCAATTAAAATCATCATGCTTATTAGATGAAGTGACGATCTTCACTGTTTAGTAAAAAAAAAAATCATTAATATTTCAATGCATTAAAGGAAGTCAATGTCAGTGGAACTGTTCTTTATGGCAGTCTAGGGGAGATGTCTAAGTTCAGCAGTAGACAGATAACGGTTGATAATAATAATGATGACGAATTGAAATCTAAAGCATTCTTTTAAGATTTTTATGAGAAAAACTGAACATTTTTTTCCAAAAATAAAATGAATTGAAAAATAATAAACAAATTACTTCCTTCCAGACTAACTTAACTGCTGAACGCGTCATGTTAATGAGAAACAGTTTTCAAGCAGACAAATGCTCACTTATACTATTAGAACAAGACCTAAAACATTGAAGATGATTTTGACTTCACCTTGCATAGCTTAGCGACGATTAGTATTAACTAAAAATTAACTACAGTACCGTACAGGCAAACGTAGTGGAGAACAACCCCCTACTAGATAGAGTGACGACAAATACATTGCAGGTTTCCAGTGGATGCAGGTGGCTCAGGAGCGTTCCTTTTGACAGTCTATGAAGGAGACCTATGTTTAACATTGAACAGGTAATGTTACAAAGTTTTATTGTGCAATAAAGAATAAATAAATAATGAAAATGAACTGAAATTCGCCATAACAAGTATGCGTAATACGTGTTCTAAACCATATATTTCTTAGAATAATCACGGCATAATGTGAAGCCATGATGTGTCACTATGGTAAATAATTACACGATGTTACGCGTAACAGGTAATGCATGAGGTGTATTATCTAAAATGCCTATGATGTATACATTTATAATGCTCCATTTATGAGTCAGTGCTCATAACCTAATTACTGAATGTGGTTAAAGTTTTTTGTTTTAAATAAACTAGACTTTTGCTCGCTAGTTCGAAAGAATAGATTTCAGAATTTAAAAAAAATAATGAAATGGATCACTTATAGATGATTTACCAAGAAAAAACATACAATTTTTTTTAAGTTAGTTCTTTCGGAGTACAGCTATGAAAATCGCATCCAATTTCGTACAGTGTTTTTTGCGTGATGCCGAAACAAATATACAGGCCGACAGATAACATTCCTAAAAAATATTGTTATGATTGCTATTCCTCTTATAAAGACGATTCATATCAATTTTTCTTAAATATCAATCTTAAATATTATATAATAAAATAGTAATATGTGTAATAATATAGCAGTCAATAGGGTCTTAGTATATAAATATTAAAATCGAGTCTTAAATAAATTATTAGTTCTTGAATGAGGGTTTACCATGAAATGTTTTCCAAAATTTTAGGGTTGAACGAAACACAAATTTAATGTTAAAATTACGTGATACGAACCATTTAAAAATGGTAAAATATCGTTCATTTCAACTTTTATGGTAGGATTTATGACGAACGAAATGTTAAGCTCCATTTACTGGGTTAATTTCGGTATGAACAAAAATACGAAAATAAGTCCGAAAATTCGCATTTTCATTCCATGGTAGACCCCGAAAATACTGTTCTGTTCTACGAAAATAAGTAGACTAGTCTATTAGCGCATTTATTATTTTCCACGTGTAATCCGGTAACATAAGAATGTGCATTATAATACTTTCAGGCATGTCTTTCCAGATAGTTTAGAGTTCTGGTCCCATCCAGTGATGGCCACTAGATAATTGATAAAAAACGATGATAAAAAAACGATGGACACAGCCTACCCATCCCTCTTAAATATACCTATAGACTAGATTATACTATATGCACACTTTTATGGGAACAAAATAATGTCATACTTTAGACGTTATTGTTTGAATGACACGATACTATTTCTAAAGTGCAGTTAAATAAATTTAATATTATCTAATGGATAAGTATATAGGTACAAAAATAAACCACTTATATAATAAAATAAATAAATAAATTATATCATTATAGGATACAATACAAAATCTATAAACGTACTTTACAGAAAAATTCTATAAGAAAGTTTCCAAATTTCAAACTATTCTCATATACATAATTTGCTAATTTTAACCTTATCGGCATAGAAATAAGAGCAATAATGCCCATTTAGCAGCATGTTTTTGCGTCATTGTCTGTATTAAAAAGGTACTCTGTGGTCTGTTCAGTATTACACGTTTGTTGAGCGACGCGACGTTGTCGCTGTGTTTTATTCTTTCCGTCTCGCACACAGCGGCGTGACTAGTTGCTTTTCACTCGCACACTGAGTAGTGCGGGGGGCGCGCGCTCTTTCAGAGCGGCAACGTTGAGCAGTCAATACACCCAGTAAAAGCATGCTATTGTGAATAAATAGACGCATGCTTTTCGTGATTTTTACAGCAATAATAAAATTGAAAAAATGTCTCGTTGGTGTCGATGGACAGAATTAGATACGTCCAATCTTGTAGAATTATATAAATCTTTCCCCTTGCTTTGGGATGCCCGTCATAAACATTACAAGGACCCGACAGCAAGAAAAATGGCTTACGAGAAGATATTAGAATTTTTAAAAAACCCAAATCTATCAATAACAGATATAAAGATTAAAATAAAGAATTTGAGGTCATCTTATTATAATGAGCTTAGAAAAATTGACAAATGCCAAGCCAGTGGACAATTTTACACGTCTAGCCAGGTCACTAGGTCTTGGTTTAGTAAGTTCAAAGAGATTATGGAGCAAGTTCAAAAAAATGTAAGCCTTACTACTAAAAAATATACTTACTAAGAAATTATATTTTTATTATGGTATAATTAATAATTTTTATTTTGTTTCAGGAAGAGGAAGGTGTAGATGAATCTGAGAGTGAAGAGGAAGCAGTAGACAGTATCGACGAGAGCATTGCTGATAATGACGGTGACGCGTATGTAGTTTCCATCAAACAAGAATATTTAGATGAGCTTGAAAATCAAAACTTAAAAGAAATGGCCAGTGTTTCTGAAGGTTATATGCCAGCGCCAAAGAAGTTTAAAAGCACCCCAATATATAAGAAGACAGTAAATGAAATAAAAACTGATGAATTTCAATTATTTGCAAACAATATGGCGGAGCAACTTCGGGCATTACCGTTAACTAAAGCCTTACAAATACAAGTTGAACTTCAAACTCTTGTCGCGAAAGAACGTATCAATTTATATAGAATTAAACAAGAAAATACTACAGAACAAACAGAGTAAGTGTTAGTTTTTTAGTTTGTAACGAGTTCATTTATTGAATGATTTAATTAGCATTTCTCATAAATAATTGTTTTAATGAATATAATAAGATTGAGATATTATAATGATATATAATTTTAATAAAATATTTTTTCACATAATTTCGTTTTATTTCCTTTAACATTTATTTAACCTATAATCTCTAATATCAATGCGATAATGTCTTCCGTACGTTGTTTTTTATAAATGTAATATTTTAAATAATAGTGTTTATTAAATGATAATGACTATTCTTAAATGATTAACAAATTTATAGTCTACTTTGTAAGATTAAGCATTTTTAAAATGAACGTATGTAATATAGTATGATAATTAACGAAATCCATTCCTTAAAACTTATTTATTAATAACGTCTTACAATTTTGTTTGGAAAAAAAAATACCAATAGCACTATATAATAATAGATATATAAGTACACACCATGTACTATTAGAAGTATAAGGACATTATTCTTTATAGTCGCGGTTATTTTCTGTGGTGTAGTGCCGTTAATACAGATACAGGTTGTTCCTCTTTTTTAAGAATTTTAATTTATTTTTTAATATATTTTATTTGTAGGAAAAAATATTCTGCGACCCTATTAATGAATACTTACACAAATTTTAAGAAAAGGATATTGAAATGAATCACAAGAGGTCATTTCACGCTGGGTAATAGTTTTTAATGCTTCTACGACCAAATACAGAGGGAGACTTTGTACAAAAGTCGATTGCTTGGGTACCTCTGTTCCATTCGTGTTTCAACCATGAAGCAGTTGTGTTTGCATAGCTGTGTTTCGGTTTGAAGGGTGGGATATGGTGTGAATTTACTGGGTACAGAGGAATTACACCTGAGTCCTCAGGAATGGCAACGCATGGGGGGTATCATGGGCGAAACAGTATACTCTGTTATGTCCATGGTACTGCTCATGTCTATAGGCGACGGTTACCACTTTCCATCAGGTGGGCCGTCAACTTGTTTGCCATTCTAAGTTGTTTAAAAAACAAAAAAAACTTCGATTGTTCTGTTTTTAACACACAGATGAAACATAGAGCGTTAAAGTATGTGTGATATCTTCGCCAATTATGAACAGATGAATTTTTTTTGTATAATTTTGTCATTGGCCCTTATTAATTTTCTCACGATAGAACTAGCTGTCATTTATTGAGAAACAAATTATTTAATTCTGATTCAAATTAAAAGTCACATAATTCGTGGCGGGAATTTAGTATCAGGGTTACTGCACTAGTAGTTCCATAATACAGTACCGTACCTATAAAACATTGGTATTTTAAGGTTGGATCAATTAAATCTATGCCGAAGGGCCAATTTCATGTACCTATAGATGGATGTCAAGTTCGTTGTATTGGGGGCGCGTTGCAATCACGAGTATTGGACATGACTTCGTGAATATGACTGGTTGTAAACGACCCACCAAAGACAACAAATATAATATGTACCAGAGGGGAGGGAGAGAGAGGGATTTTTAAATATGTGTATAATATTTGTATATAAATAAAAAATTTTCTCGTATCAGGGAGACTTTGTACAAAAGTCGATTGCTTGGGTACCTCTGTCTCATTCGTGTTTCAACCGTGAAGCAGTTGTGTTTGCATGGCTGTATTTCGGCTTGAAGGGTGGGATATGGCGTGAATTTACTGGGTACAGAGGAATAACACCTGAGTCCTCAGGAATGGCAACGCATGGGGGGTATCATAGGCGAAACAGTATACTCTGTTATGTCCATGGTACTGCTCATGTCTATAGGCGACGGTTACCACTTTCCATCAGGTGGGCCGTCAGCTTGTTTGCCATTCTAAGTTGTATAAAAAAAAGAAAAAAAAATCACTACATTTAACTTAAGCGAGGAAGGAACATTTGCAAATTACCAAGAAGTATGTACTGCAAGTGTGTCAAGGCGATTCGTCACTAAAGCATTAATAGATAATGCTGATTTATGAAAAACCTACATTGATACTTGTATTTAGTGATTGTTGTGCTACCTCGACTTATATAACAATAAAGGTTGTGGGTGCGAATCTGATCAATTCAAGTTTAAACTAAATCTCTGGTAATAGGAAATACAGAAACATTGAAGAGCTCGCCTTCTATAATTATTCTTCGTTAAATTTAAAGCATGTTAATTGAAATGCGAACAATTTAAATGATGTATGTATTACTCGTACATTCTTAGTTTTATAAATTAATGAATATTCATTTATTTATAGAATTAAATTAATTTAATATCAATAGGATATCCCATTGATATTAAATGTGGAAGTTTGCAAGGATAGATGGATAAATGTTTGTTAATTTTTCACGTAAAACTTACTCAACGGATTTTAATGTATTTTGGTACAAGGGTAGATTATATCCTAACTAAGCATATAGGATACTTTATGTACTGATTCACGCAGGCAAAGTTACGGAAAATAGCTAGTTTATAATATTTATTCAAAATACGATATACATATATGGTGCTTTTTCTTACAATGTACTTAGAAAAATTCCCTATTTTTATTATTATAAACAGGTACTGCAAAATCTTATCTAATTCTCGCATGTAAAAGTTCAACAAATTTCGAGAGAACCGGAATAATTAGATTTTACTTGAAATAAGTATTCAATTGTAGTTATCTAATTGAACATATTATATATGATTAACGTTTCTTAAATTATTTATTTATTTATTTAAACTTTAATACACAATAAAATTCTATGTACGAGTACATTTGGCGGACTTAACACCGGACGGTGTTCTCTACCAGTGAACTATTGGGCAAACTGAGAAATACGTAGGCGGTGCATTTATGAATAGAATTATGAGTAATTTATTGTTGCATTGCTCATTAAGGATAATTAAGAATGAGTTCCAGAAAAAAAACCGACTTCAGTTATTGCAAAACCTGTTATTTTATTTCAATACTAATCTATTAAACTGATTTTGACAAATTTTCTACGAAATCAATCTGTAATAAGTAAGGTCTCTAACTGACGGAGTAATGAGGTAACAAACATAGAAAAAAATAACTAAATTGAGAACCCCTTTTTTTCGAAATCGTTTGAAAAGTATTTCTTATACAGAACGATTTGTTATTTTAAAATAATCAATCATACACTTTCCTCTCGTCCTTCTAATGTCATTTGGCTGTCAATTGCATCATTTCCCGTGTCGACACTTAATCTATTATTATTATAAAAAATCTAATGCCAAACAATATCAACAGATTCTGTCAGGTACAAAATATGTCTACGTATTTCCAAATAAATTCAAGTTGAACTTTGAATTAAGACTCGTATCTAAAACCTATAGTTTTTCAGTTATCTATATATTTATCAAAGAAAGTTCTGTTCGTTATCCTTACTTATAAATGTGAAAGTGAGTTTGTGTTTGTTTGGTTCCTTATAGTGCCTTAACGGCTTAACCAATCACTACGAAATTTAGTATACACAAGATGGAGAAGGATATTCGATCAGGCGGACGAAGTCGCGGATACAAGCTAGGTATCTATAAATATAATCTTATATTTAGAATTTACGTGCTATACATTACCACTATTATTATATAGCATTATTATAAACTTAGTTACGTCTAAGTTGGACTGATTTAGTAATTTTAATAACAAAACATTGTCCACCAAAAACATTCGTCAAAATATTTTTGTCGAACAAGTTCAATTTTCTTTTTGCTCCACAAATAATTTGTTATTTTCTTACTAAATCGATCACCACTAAAAACTTATAAAGTGATCCAAATTAGACTTTAAAGTCACCGTCCGTGATTAAAAACGATGTTGGATTGCTTTAGTAATTAAGTGGAATGATTAGTTAATTACTGAAAAATAAACATGTACTTATTATTTACTATTCCTAAAAACAGTAATTAACGTTTTGCAGATAATATGGAATAGATAATCAACACTTACTTTCTAATGGGGCAAATTTACAGAGTTCTTCATTTCAAAAATTGAAGTCGACTTACCTGAAACAAAAACAAAAGAGTTTTAATCAGTTAATTGATTTATTATATATTGATCACATTAAAAAAAATAGATTAAAATGCTAATAATAAAAAAGCGTATTACATTTTTTACATCAATAGTATAAATGAATGTCATGTATGATAATGTATGATAAAATCTTTAAAAAGATCTAACTGTACTTATCAAAGTACTTCATTTTGTACTGTTGTTATGTCTTTGCAAAAAACAGAATACAGGAAAATGTTTGTCCGATAAACAAAAATTTAATCCGCTTCACAACAATAATTATATGATTCATCTCATATAATCTGACAGTTGTTAATGAAAGATATTTCCTGAATTTAATGTAAGAGGTTACCATTTTTAATTCAAAGTGTGTATTAAATTAACAAGATCGATTCAGAATTCTGTGTTTATACAAAATCCTTCTTTTGAAACTCAAGGAGAGAAAAAAATAAATCTTAAACGTCAGAAAATTGGTGCCCTTGTTTCAATGGCATAATGTTGAATGTCAATGTTTAACTAATCCAAGACAATGTCTTAAGCAGTAAAACTGAAATACTGTCCATAGCTATTATAAAAGAACTACCCTCTTATTTATAAAAACTAAGAACTACAAACTTATTTTAATTAAACGCTGTTTTGTCACTTTCTATCAAATTAAGAATTCAGCGCTGAAGAAAGAGACACTTCACCTAGCTAAAGCTAAAACTCATAAAGCTAAAACAGCTTTATGAGTGGTTTGACGTTTTTTTTAATGGGTGAAACTTAAATGGTAAGCCCGCCTGCGCTATCAATTTACGCTGGCAGGATACCAGTGAGGGATGACAAAAGAGGATGAAAAAGGTCAGCTGGCCCATCGTGCTGAATTTACTTGGGATTAAGCACGATTGGGGGACCACGAGGAGGGTATATTGCTAGCAATAAAGCTACAAATCTCCATTACTAACAATTTTTCCCCTCCCCTTCGACGTTTTTAGTTAGTTTAGTGTAATTCCATATTTATACAAACGTTTTTTGTTCGAAGTGCACGGAATTGAAATGAGAGAGTTGAAACTCAGAGGGAGTTATTTGTCTCTTTCTCACGAAGCCTTTGGTTCATGGCTTGGCCGGCCGTGAGTAACAATAGTATGACCGCGCGATTAAGCACAATTTGACGTTACTTTGACGCCATATTAATTTCAATTTCAATTTGAACCAAATCCGACCATTTTTCCCATTCGTTTGGTCGTTGGATCTAACTAAAAAATTACTTGCTATATTACACAAACACCGCCGCTTATGGGATAGGAAACACCCTAAATTCAGACATATCAGGAGGAACCATGGATTAGAAATAATAACCGAACTACTCGATTCACCGAATGTGACAACGGAACAGTTGAAAATAAAATTGAGAAATTTGCAAAATAAATACAATAAGGAGCAGCGTAAAATATTAATTGCCAAGGAAAATGGTTTCTTCTGTACCAAGCCTGCCATGGTTCAAGGCCTACGACAACATTATGCAAAATGTAAAAGAAACACACATTCTTATTATTCTCATAAATTATAATATTAAATCCATAATTTTAAAGTTAATAATTTTTTTAGCTACCTTCAGATAAGAGTGACTTAGAAGTTGGTTATCAAAATAATCCAGAAGAAAATATCGCAAAATTGGATATATTTGTAGTATCTATTAAGCAAAAATGTTTTAATAACATCGATGACATTTCAAGCCTAGATTTTGATGAGCATCCAATGTTGAAAAATCCAACGAGTTTACTTAAAATAAACGATATTCAGGATGAAATAGAAATGAACATCAAACGTAAAGATGGTCTTCTGGAACCTCTTCAAATGGATGAATTTCAAAGGTTCGCTAATTATATTGCTGAACAGCTACGAATGGTGCTAGAACCAGCAGTTTATAGACTACAAAATAATATAGAGCTATTGTTCGACAATAATTTTGATGTAATACAGGTTATTAAGTTAATATTTTCACCGTTAACGTAATATTATCTGTAAAAATTTAACAATGTTTAACAAAATTCGATATAATGAAGTCTATGTGCCATTATTTTAGTTTGCAGTAAAAAATAAAGATATATGAAATGTTCTATAGTATAAGTATTAATGTTCTTCTTTTAAATAAAATCTTTTAAAATACCTATACGGATTTTAATTCCTTTTAGGCTAGTTCCTAAACAAATTGATACACGATTTAAAATTTGGCTGCAAAAAAAAACTTTTATTTCAATCGTGGACTGGTAAAGAGAACATCAAAACAAAACAAAAAATATTGATAAACTAAAATAAAATTAGCCTTTGTTGTTCTCAATATCAAATTTACATATATTTTAAAATTCATAGACACATTATGCCACAAAAGACGAGATTGATAAGTAGTTAAATTTCCAACCTATAATACTACTGTTAGTACTAAATAGTAATATTTATTTACTCTTTTATCTTCATCTTTATATATGCCTATATGTAGAACATATCTTTTTCTGACTGCATAAGCAAATAGGTTAGTAACATCATCATCGTCATTATATCAGCTGTTATCTGTCCACTATAATAACATGCTGTGCATGAATTTAAAGAAATCCTTCTCTTAATTTTAAAATTATTTACAAAAGAAACTTCCGCTTTTCAACATTGATTAAAACAAACAAATCGTCTACATGATAACATGAAAAATTAATAATGTTACTGCGCAGTTTCCTGACATTCAATGGAATATCCATATGATAGTTCTACCGTAACTGATTGCGCGATAATTTATCTTTTATCTCTACTTATAATATTTTTCATAGAAGTTTTATGTTGTTTTGGAACAGAAAATTGGAATTATTAGTACAGGAAATCTATGTACATATAATAAAATTATAACTATTCTATATCTGTATAGTCGTATAGGATTTAAAAAAAAAGATATACTATATAAGAAGAAATAGAAATGAAAACAATAAGTTTCGAATTTTTGCCAAGCAGTAATAGTTTTACAACAGTAAATTTAAGATTAATGTATAATCTATACCAATAATCTCTACCAATTTAAATTATTTCATTATAAAATCTCTTGTCGTCAGGTATGCTGTGAGGAATACAGTCTTCACAATATGATTACTTGTTGACATTAATCTAATCGTTATTAATTAAATTCGTTTTATTAATAAGCGACTTCAAAAAGAAGAACTTTCCAATTGTCTTGAAAATACATATATAATATTATATATGCATGTTATGCAATTCTGAACAGAGTTTGATATTTATTCCCAATAGATAGGGCTCTCCTGTTAACACTGTTACGATTAAAGTTTTTTTTTCAGAGTATAGTATCTTGCATTACATGCAGAATTTGTTTTTAAAAGAAACGCATTATATCTTAATAAAATTATTATATTTATTATTACTGTAAATTTTAATACTATAATAATTAGATCATATTATTTGAAATTTTAAGCTACAGTAGGGCACACATATACATTACATATTATATATTTTAATTATAGTATAGGATCTACCTAAGAGTATATTTTATTCATCAAAAATCTGTACGAGGGGTAGATTGTCGAACAATAGTTCTATCTCTTTTTGTAGTCTGTGTGCTCTTTGTGCTGTCACCATACGTAATTGTTCAGCAATATGTTCAGCGAACATCTGAAACTCGTCCATGGGAATAGATTCCATAATAAAATTGTCATCATGTCTGACTTCTGTTTGATCCTGTATATCTGTTTCTGTATGTACTCGCTTAGGATTTCTCAATATTGGTTGCTCATCGAAATCAATACTAGAATTCTCGCCTCTTGCAATGTTGTCTAAACATTCTTGTTTTATTGACACTATGTATGTATCCGAATTTGTGGTATTTTCTTCTGAATTGTCTTGATGATAATGTTGAATGTCTTCTCCCGAGTCACTCTCATCGGGCGATTCCTAAAATAAATAATAATTTATTATTACTACATGCATATAACTATTTTTATAATAATAATATATAGGAAAAATAAGACAAGAACCTGTATTTCTTTTACTTCCTGCATAACATTGTTGTACTCCTTAAACCACGGCAGACTTGGTCTGTAGAAGAAACCGTTTTTCTGGGCAACTAATATTTTACGCTGTTCTATATTGTATGTGTTTTGTAAATTCCTCAATTTACATTTCAACTGTTTCGTTGTCACATTTGGTGTGTCGAGTAGTTCGACCATTATTTCTAAGCCGCGTTTCGTTCCAATTTGTCTGAAATCAATGTGTTTCCTATCCCATAATCGGCGATGGTTATGTAGTATTTCAATTAATTTTCTAGTTAGATCCAACGACCAATTGAATGGAGAGGACGATCGACTTTGATTCATGTTGAAATTTAAATTAATGTGGCGGCAAAATGACGTCCTATTATGCCTAACCACGTAGTCGTACTGTTATTTCTCGCGGCCGGCCGACACATGATCGACCAGTTCCCTCCCCTCGCTACTCCCGACGACTGCGTCGCGCGCTATAATTGCGTGCGAAAGAGATAAACAGCTCAGACCGGTACAAAAAATCGCATTACTTCGTGTCTGTGACCTTTTTAGTCTTTACCTACCACATATAAATACAAAATAACAGAAATTTCTAAGTATGAACTCATAACAAAAAATGTAAATAGGTAGTAATAAAATTTTAAATCCTTACTTATTTTGTATTTAAAAGTAGATGTAATTACTCTATCTAACCTACCTCTATGCAGATTATAATATTTCACTAACATACTCATATTACAAAACCGTGTTCTGGTTCTGTCTTATTGTAACTGAATTTAGATTATATAAATAACAATTACTCCTGTATAAACTTGATACCTAATGTTTATACAGACTGTGATGTTCACAGAAAGAAAATAATTATTTTTAAAACAATTAACATTTCATTATTATAAGTAAGAACACTTGCTTATTTATTGCATTAAAAACTTTTTACTATTTCTAGCTAGTTACTAAATTACATTAGAGATAAAAAAAATCTAATCTACAGGTTACATTTTGATTAATTACGAATTTTATTAATATTTCTAAATTTTTTAGTTAAGAAACTAATGGCAAATATAGATACTATTATTATATTACCTATAGCCGCCGAATTTTGAGTTAGTTCTCCAATACATATACCAAAAAATTTGTAGTTTCATAATTTACCAACTATTTTGTTTCTTCATTTTACAATCAAACAGTTAGGGGGGGGGGGGGGGGAAAGGGATTGTTAGTAATGGAGTTTGACAGCCCCATTGCTAGCAATATGCCCTAACAGGTCAACCTTCACGTTGTTCCCCCTGGAAACCATAGTGAACAATTTTTGTTGAATTCGTCACGATGGGCTAACTGACCTACTTCATCTCCTCACCTATCATCCTTCACTGGTGCCCCGCCGGTGTATACCGATAGCGCGGGTGGGGTTACCATTTCATTATCATCCATTAAAAAAAAAGCGTCATATGAATGAAATAAAAAAAAGTATCTACTAGTACCTACTCACGTGTCGACCCTGGTATACGGTTAAAGTGTAATTAACAATTAGTAATACTCATATCCTCATTAAAGTATATATGTTCGACCCTGGAATATCTACGTTTAAAATATGACACGTGTTATAATGATATTAATATAAAATAGCAGAAACATCAACTACATTCTTTAAAAAAAAAATTATGCAACTAGAATGGCAAACGATCTGACGGTCCATCTGTTGGATAGTGGTAACCGTCGCCTATAGATATGAGCAGCACCATGGACATAACAGAGTATACTGTTTCGTCCATGATACCCCCCATGCGTTGCCATTCTTGAGGACTTAGGTATTCCTCTGTACCCTGTATCATTAATAATAAATAAAAATATTTTTTTTATTTAAATAAACTTAATTATACGTATTTTGAATGGTCATTTATTTTTGACTAGGCTAAAAAAACGCGCAGGAAACACAACTGTTGCTTATTTTAAAATAAATATTAAGTTTACTACAAAAATGTGAATCGATAAAATGACTTTTATCTCAAACTTCATATTGATTGAAAAAAAAGAAAATAAAAAACTAAATCAATCATAGTATTCTAGAACACATTAGTATGATGGTTGAATCAGCCTTCGTTGTGTTCCACCATATTGTAGAAAGCCCAACGACTCGACTCCCTACGCCGCCACCAATCTGGACATTACAGTGAGCAAGATTTGTTTCAAAATTTGAGGTTTCGAAAATTATCGATGTCAAATTTAATGTGACAACCAGTATACCCACTCATTACAAAATTAAAATGTTATTTATATCACAAATTCAATAACTTTATGCCAATTAAAAAAAAACATAAAACTAATCAGTAAAATAACAAAAGTGTCCACATTTTACAATGTTAGGTTAGTCTTTACTCAAAATTTAACTTTTCTTGAACCAGCAGTTTTTGCTGTGAGTTATTTATTAGTCATTCTGTTTATTTTTATGATAGCGAGACTTTAAGAACTGTAATTTTCGTTTAATTAATTAAAATCCATTATTGGCTGTATTTATAAGAGACTTGGTATGTAAGTCGTTTTTTTAAGAGCTGTGGATTTTTGTATTGAATAAATAAATGATTATTAAACACACAAAACGGATGTCAATATTTTATCACTTTTGTTAATCTACCCCATCATTTATAATCACATGAACTATCTTAGCGCCGATACGATGCCTAGTACCTACTAAGCTACCTACTGATAAAGCATACTTTCCGGTATCTCAATAGATAAGATTGTGAAATCAAAGAAATTATTGTTCTTTATCTTTGCGTATGGAAAAAAATAAATAAATACCTGATATACATTTGCCTGTTCCAAGAGATATTCTAAAGAATTGTTGTTCTTATAAAATACGTCTAGGAAGATACAGTGAACTATTGCGAATTAAAAAGTGATCAGTCTGCAAGTCATCATCATATCAGCCGTCGACTGTCCACTCTCCCATAAGGGGGAGGGGGGCTTGCCAGTAGTTGCCACGCTTGGCAGGCGGATTGACAATCACAGTGAGTCTTTGGTGATATTTTAAAAGGGACGTTACTGCTCAACCCTCGGCCATTAAGTTCCTTTAGTCGCACCTTAACGGCTTAATCAATCACTATAAAATGTGGTATATACGTATTATGTGGAATGGAGAAGGATATAGGCTACATTTTATCCAGGTCCGTGAAGATATTCTGGTCATGCGGACAAAGTCGCGGGTAAAAGCTAGTATTAATATAAAAGTACATTAGTTACATCGTAATTATTTAATCAATAAATAATACCTAAGAATAGTAGGATTACAAATTTATATAATAATAGGTGTAACCTATGACTTTTCCAATTGAATTGGAATCAAAGTATATGAGTATATTGTGGTCCATTTATGCGGTAAATTTTATTTAAACCTATTTATATTATAAAGAGGGAGAAGGGATTGCTAATAATGGAAATTAGTAGGTCCATTGCTAGCAATACATCCTGTCAGGTCGACCTTCTCGCGGTTCCTCTTAGAAACTATCGTGTCATATTCCAAGTGAATTCATCACGATAGGCTAACTGACCTGCATTTTTATTCTCAACTATCATCTCTCACTGGTGCCTCGTCAGTGTATACAGTTAGCGCAGGTGAGGATACCACTCCATTATTATCTATTTATAATATAAACAAATATATTTGTACAAAATTACAATATTAGTAGGATTTGTTGAGTGTATCTTAATTAAATGTATTGAAAACAATACAACAACGAATTTTAATAATTGTAAAATAGATAAACACGGGACTTTTTATATTACAACATAATACATTTTTATCAAACAAAAGATAAGGAGAAAATTATAACAACTGGTTATAAAAAATACACCAGGTATGGAAAAATGTGACATATGTTATACTAGATTAAACATATAAATATACTATATGTTTAATAAACTAATAATTAACAAAACTCCATAGATAACTGCATTTGTAATTAAAGCTGCGTGGAAATGCAGCAAGTATCCTAGGCACCCTACCAGCTGGCAGTGATCTCAAAGAAATTTTTTATCTTTAAATAATTTTTTAATTCTAATTTATTAAAAAAAAACCAAATAGCTACGATTTGAATCTTATATTATTTGGAATATTACAAAAAGTATTGTTTTTCATAAAGAAAGAGGAAAATAATATTGTTATTCAAATAAACTTAAATTTAAGACTTTTGGAATAATAATTTTTGTATGATTCTACCATATATTTTGAATGCAATTTCGGCTAAGAAGAACGGTTAAGAAACTCAGCTGTTGTCGTTTACAAAAACTTGAATTTTAATAAATTAACCTAACTAATAAGCTATTTAGGGTCGATACATGCGTATTGTAATATATAATTGTATATATTAATTCATAAATTTTCGGGTACCATTATCCCACTTGTATTTCTGCTATCAAGCAATTGTGTTGACGTGGCTGTATTTCAGTCCGAATGGAATTAATATTACAATGAAATGTGAGATTACATGGTACCGAGGCACAAAATTTTAGTACTCAGAAAAAGCCATACATGAGGTATCACAGTATAGTCAGTATCGTCTTTTTCTATTTATTGGTGACGGCTACCTCTCTCTATTGGGTGGGCCGTTAGCTTGTTCTCTACAAGTTGCATAACAATAACATTTTTTCCATTAAAAAGTGAAACCTTAAATCCCTTTTTCAAGTCGGTGTAATGACTACATACGTATAACACATAGTGTATTGTACGTAGGTATGTATGTATACAAAATTCAACTATATATTCATTACATTTAACCGCAATTACAATCAAGCTCCGCAGACGGTCGTGTGTTGCACGCGCCCCATGTATGATACCATACCAATACCACACACGTGACGTGACGTAACGTCATCAAAGAATACGAGTTGCAGAGAGTGTAGACTGATTCGTCGAACCAGGTAGTTAGTTTATACCTATTTTGCGATTTAAAATATAAGAATTATTTCTCGTGATTACATTATCGTTACCAATATTATAAATGTAAAAGTGAGTTTGTTTATTTGTTTGTTGCCTTTCGGCGTTTAAACAATTCAACAATCATCATTAAATTTGGTATATATTTAGTATTTGGAATAAGGTAAAGACTAAAGGACATAGGTCACGTTTTATGTCAATCAATTTACTTAAACTTTAACTTAAGGTAAAAACTGGTAGAAATATAGGCCAATAAGTAAGCGAGTACGTGGCACGCGAATGAGTAAAAAGAATATTTGGCACTTAAATTACATAATTTTCCACCGACTTCAAAACAAGAGGACGTTCTCAATTCGGTTGAAATTTTTCTATACTTCTTACCTCGTAACTCCGTCAGTTGTAATTTGGACTTGATATATTTTTTATCAAAATCGGTTCAGTAGTTTAGTTTTTAAATTAAAATAACTCGTTTTGCTACAATTGAAATTGTTTTTTTTTTGGAACATAATCTTAAATTATTATATGTACTTATTATGTGATA